ACAGTCAAGTTATGTCAGTTTACAATGGCGTGCTTATCTGAGAATGTAATTTAGTTTTATGAATAAGTTATAGTGTTTTCAGACAGTACATATTATAATGAAACAAGCAACAGTTTTAATATTTAATGTGTTTATTTCCCTGAATAGTTTTAATGAAAAATTTTAATAAGCTTGTGTAAACATGATTAGCATCCCGGTACACATGTCCTGAGATCTATACTTTGCTCTAGTCGGATTGATTGATCCCTCCAGTCAGAAAGTGATTTTTCCCTTTTTTTAATTTAAAAGCATAAAAATAAAAAAATAGATACAAAGTTAGCAAAAAAAAATATGTCATAAAGTGTCATTCACTGGGAAGTGGCACCTGGGAAAGTGTTGTCTTGAGTGATACTCTTTGTCTTTCACTTTATTGAGATCTTGTTGCATGGTCTTCATGATGAAATTTGTATGAACTGGTATTTAACTCTGCCCACAAACTACTCTAGAGTGTGTTTCCAGGATATCCTGCTCACTTTTGGCCACAGAATACTCTCTTTCTAACTGCCACCAGCCAATTTTGTCCAAACATATCTAATTTCTTCACCCAAAGAAAGATCCAGATGTTCTGACCCACAATTATCCTCGGGAATGGTGCTAATAACATTCTCTAAAGAGTACTGGTTTAGGAGGGAAACTCCTTAGATTAACCCTAAATACTCTCATTTTCTAAGTGCTCCTGATTTTTGGTATATTACAGAGCTTTGAAGCAATAAAAATCACGATAATGTGTCTACATTGTTTAATAAATATATATTTCCATAGTCTGTGTAAATCAAATACTTTGCTACAAATCGGATTTTCAGGTAGATCAATGGTTATCAGTACTTCATCAAGTCACTTAAAATGTCCTGATAGCTACACCACTTGCCCTTACACCTAAAGATGAAAGCAAATATCTTTGTCCATTTAAAATATTTAGGAGGTATGTCTTATGTTGAGGACATCCATTAAAAAAAAACTAAATTTAAATATGAGACAGTTTCTTTATCATGTGATTTATAATATATATTAAAGTCGTTCTTTAACATTTAAAAAAAAAATTAAAAGCATTCTTCACAAAATTAAGTTTTACAGGAAGGAGGTCGATATCTTTAGGTAAGTAAAACTATTTGGTCTGTACATTACATTATCCCACTATGAAAGAAGATGCATTCAATTAAGCAGTTCTTCCTTTACCTATGTTTAAAACATGATACAGTGTGATAAATAACCTTCCTATGATTAATACAACTAAGACTACGCCAAAAACCTGACGAATGAGCAATTATTGGAGATGCAACGCAGTGTCTAATGCCATAAGCTTCAACTTGTCCCGCATCCTAGAATGAGAGAGGGGCTTGCCATAAGATATCACAAAACAGAACACATTTATAATTTATTTATTTTGTGTGTGTTTTTAAGATAGATTTTTCTAATCTTCTACAGCCATTCCATCCAACCAGAGCCACCATGCTGTATGCGGATAAAGTTTGTACAGAGTAATTTCAAGGTAGGTATATTAAATGCCAACACAATGAATATTGATATTTATATTTTATATAAATATTTACCTGAATGGAGACCTGTTATCCACACAATTTATGGTTGAGGGTCTAGCTAAATGGGATGTTGCTCTCAGCCAGTATTCATGTCTCTGCCACACGGAGAGCTATGTCCCATTTAGCTAGACCACAGTATCGCTTGCAGTAGGATATGTTTGCTCAATGTCATTGTCTTTAAAAATTCATGTCAAGGGTTATGTTTTCTCCCACACATGGTCAGTTCCCATACTGCTGTTTCCAGTTCGATGAACCTGTGAGTGTATAAACCTCTAGGGCACATAAAAAGAAAAAAATATATACACAAACATACTAAAACTTTTAGGGGAAAAACTATTCTATAAGATATTTCAGTTCTATATACAGCAAAATGGGTTTTATTTGTTATGACACATTTGTACTAATTAATGCCATTTTTTCAGTGTACATTGTTGTCAGTTTTCTGCTTAACCCAATAAAAAGAGATTTTCAAAAATACCTCTATAGCAAAAGCACTGGCTGTAAAAGAGACAAAGAAATCTGTGTTTGCCTCAAATAAAAATAGTTTTCTCACCGATAATCAGAGATGCACAATCCCTGGGAGCCAGCCTACTAACTCCTAAGGATGAAATTGTGGGGTTGGGGTATTGTGCCGCATCATGCCACACCAGGGGTAAAAGGCTGGAATAGTGCTCTCAACCAATCACTGCCCCAGTCCATGGTATGAATTGGTATGGCGCGAGTTGGAGCGTATCTCTGCCTCCACCATAGTATAATTAGGGTCTAACGGTTTACACACTGTTTAGCAGAGAACCAATCTCTGTTAAACAGTAAGTAAACCATTTGGCAGTGATGCAAGACCAGATGTCCACTGACTCAGGTACCATAACCACTTAATAAATCTGAAGTGGCTATTGTGCCTACAGTGTTCCTTTAAATAATGTTATACTCTATAGTGGTGCATAATAAAAGCGATGCTCACAAGTCCTTATCTTTTGACAAAGGTAATAGGCAATAACTACACTTAGCAATCATTGCCCAATGTCCTGCTGAAAAAAATTCAATCAAACCACAAACATGCACAAAGTTCAAAAACAGCCTATAAAGGTATAATTCTGGGGACACAATGTAACTGACTGGTCGGTTCCACCCAATCATATAACCCTTTTAATTTCTTATTGCAGTCATGTGAAAGTCTCTGCATGCCAAATTTACTTTTAGGCGTCTGTTTATCTTGGCCTTTTTGCAAGACTTACCCTATAACAAAAGCTGCCCGCCTGCACCAGTATAGTATAGTAATATAAGCAAATATACAGTACACAGCTACCCATCCCAAATTAGAAAAGTAAGTTTTCAGCACAGAAGAGAAAAAAGGGGGCAGCAAATGGCGTGATACCAAAGGATATCAGCAGAAGAATGGAAATGCAAATAGGTGATCCCAGAAAGTGAAGGAAGACTTCATCACCAAAGTCGTGTGTCCCAAAGCTCTCAAAGGAGATATAAGTCATTCAGTGTGGCCAAGTTTCTATGTACCCAACCATGCATTACGCAGTAGTAACAATGAGACCCTCATTTGAACTCAAGTCTCTGATACGAGCTACCATTTATTAAAGAGGGGGGAAACTGCATTATGTGTTTGATGGGAACAAAAAATATTCTAACCATAGAATAGCTTGGGAAAAAAAATGTACATACGTTTGATTTCATCTCATTTTAATTTAACCCTCTCCTTTTTAATTCAGATTACCCACTAAAAGCCCATTGCACTAAATGCAGCAAGAACAATTCTGTTTTGTTGAATTAACATATAAGGCACGCATTTTATTATTTTACCATACTCCTTTCAGCCTGGAAGTCCTGCTTTAAATATTCCTAAATGTAACCTATTTAAACACTGGGGTAAATCTCTGTGGCTGCTCATATTTCTGACAGATTTGTGCGTACTAGAACATTTCATAGTAAACACGTTAAAATAAACTGCACGCTGTATATTTTCTATAAAATCAGACTTCCGAAATACATTGTTGCCTAGCAACTAGAATATTCTCCAAGCATGCTTGGTAAAAGTGGGAACTTCTTTGAAGTATCCAGAGAATATATTGCCTTCTACACTTCTGCATTTAGCACTTACAATGCGACCTCATTGGGTCTATGAAATGAAAGTTCAAACATAAGAGTTGCTTTGTGTGTGGTAGCGGTGGGGAGAAGCCAACGGCAGAGATACTTACCTGAAGTTCTTCCTGCTTGTCTTGCTTCCAGAGGCCTTCGTCCGTTCCTGGAGCTTCTGACATCACTGCATCTCACACATGTACAAGAACACAACACAGGCATACAGACAACCCCAGAGACCACTGGATTGTTCACAGGTCAACCTGAGGTTGGGTGAGTAGATGCCTTTGTTTTCTGCAGCCATCTATAGCAATAGCTGCCAGAAAGTTAATGTCAGAAGCTCCTTACTATTGTAGGGCAGGGCCGGATTAACATAGGGGCTGATAGAGCTGCAGCTCCAGGCCCATTCCCATGGAATAGGACAATTGATTTACACACTACTCTCAGGGTTGCCACCTGGCCGGTATTTATTTGAGGCTGCTTGGCAGGTGCCGATATTGCAGTAATACCGGCAATACAAATGCCGGTATTTTTCTCAGTATAAGCAGAGATTACTCTGCACCGGCCAGTAGGGGTCGCTGTGTGTGTGTGGAGAGAGGCAGGGATAGGAAGTTACAGCATATACCTCTCTCTCTACTCACTAATCCACGGGGGAGCAGCTACACAGAGAGTCCAGACAGCAGCTCCCAGCCAATAGACACAGCCTATAGCTGAAGGAAGTGAGGGATGGGGTAAAGGCTGCAGGGAGACATGGGGACACTGAGACACTAGGGGACACTGTGAGACATGGGGACACAGGGAGACCTCTTGGGACGCTGAGACACCTGGGGACACTTGGAGACACGGGGACACAGACACACATGGGGACACTGAGATATGGGGACACTGAGACACTAGGAGACTTGGGGACACAGACACACATGGGGACACTGAGACATGGGAAAACAGGAGCTTAACCGCCATACTGAGAGGACACGGCGGGATTTAGCTCCCAATATATTTTGCTAATTACATGCTTTGAGAATACTATTATCCTCTTCCTAAGTGCTATGTGACCGGCTAAGTTCTTTGGCACCTCTTGGGTAACATCGGTGCTGAATCTGAGCCCAACTGCAACTGCTGTGCTACAGCTGTGTCCACCAACATGCTGCGGCCTAGTGTGTCTCCTCGTCGGGGGAATCAGCCGATCTCTCTGACCTGGACTGCCCGGGCCGTCTTGGGGCATTAGAGCCCCGTACTTCCCCCGTTTGGACTGGCAAGGGTTATCCTGGTCCCCATCAAGCCCTGACTGCTCACCTCTCTGCCGATCCTGGGCTCACACGAGACCTGTCCAAAATGGATAATGGCAGCACAGCCGCAAAGCATGATGTACAGACCCCAATGCAGAGTTGGGAAGAAAGCTACTCACAAGCATTCAACACGATCTGTGAGCAGTTCTGGCAGAGCTCGAGGAGACAGTGGCAGCTTGCAATGTCAGCTCCAGTGACCCAGACGGATCGCAGAGTAGCCACCCGGAAACCCCCTCCAAGACAGAGACCCAAGCGGATCCAGCAGGCTGCACGAGGTCTGAGTACTTGTGAAGACCATCACTCCATAAAAACTCACACACATTACCTGCCTGAAGAGGTCAGAGCCAGTGACCATGGATGCTGTAAGGCAGAGGCAATGCATGGTGTCAAGGGAGACCTCAGTCACCCTTTACATCTGCTTGGACTCTGCCTGTATGCTAAGGGTATAAGCTGAATATGCTCTGGATGATGAAGCTCTGGAATTCCCTGTTAAAACAATGCTAGTTTGTCTTTGCATCTGAGTTTATTACTTTTTTCTCTATCTGTCTCAGCAATTAATGTGAGCCCAGGCACAATACTCTTGGTGGTTTCATACTCATCTGTTTTCTTGTGCTGTCAGTTGATTTAACATGAGTATCTCCTAACTCATTTATTGTATACTGACCTTGACTTGTGTATTTTCTGTTAAAAAAAAGTACTGTATCTCTGACATTTTATGAAGATCTTGCTTTCAACCTAATTGTACTTTTTCATATCAGAATGTCACTGTAAGCTTTCTAACTAACCTATGCACTAGAAAAATAAAGAATATTTTCTTTTTAAATGGGGAAATGGACACACATGGTGACACTGAGACACTTGGGAACACTGGAAGACATGGGGGCACTGAGACACTAGGGACACAATGTCCCCAAGTGTCTCAGTGTCCCCATGTCTCCCAGAGTCCCCATGTCTCACAGTGTCTGTGTCCCTAGTGTCTCAGTGTTCCCATGTCTCCCAGTGTTCTAGTGTCTGTGTGCCCATGTCTCCTAGTGTCCCCCAGTGTCCACATGTCTCCCAGTGTCCCCAAGTGTCTCAGTGTCCCCTAGTGACATGGGGACAATGGGAGACATGGGGACACAAAACACTAAGGGACACTGGGCAATATGGGGACACAGAGACATAGGGACACTGGGAGACATGGGGCACTGAGACACTGTGATACATAGTCTCAGTGTCCTGAAGTCTCCCAGTGTCCTCAAGTGTCCCCATGTCTCACAGTGTCCCCTAGTGACATGGGGACACAGACACTAGGAGACACTGGGAGACATGGGGACACAGACACATCCATCTATACAGCAGAATCAAACGGTAAGTAGTTTTTGGTAATTTTCACTTATGTCACTCCTTGTGATTTACATCATGTGATGTCACATATACATACAAGCTCAGAATTCTGTTGGCCAGAATGAATGATTTGCAGGCAGCCTGACATGCATTCATGCCAGGTTAGCCTTTTTTAATTCTTTGGGCAGACGAGCCTCCTTTTTGGGCATGTTCGTCCCTTTCAGGAGTTCTTGTTACATGATCCGCGTCAGTGGCACACCCTTTTACACCGCCCAATAACTTCCTGCTTCACTGGACACTGCTGTTAGGGGGTATGGATGTATTTGAAAGATGAAAGCATGAATTAGAAAGAGATTAGCATATTTGAAGAGAATCTGAGTTTTCATATAGCTGCATCCTATGACTTTCCCTCCAGCAACATCTCCACCAGATACATAACGCTTCAGACGTATGACTGTTTTAGTGTTTTTGGTCGATAATATTCTGTACTTAGGCCCCTCATAATTGTCAGCACCAGGCCCACTGGGCTCTTAATCTGGCACTGTTGTAAACCTTGAACTTTACTTTAAGACAATGTAGTCCTTACTTTGTCTTCTGATATATTTTGAATGCATTGAAATGTCAAAACATTCAGTATGATTATATTTATAATATATATATATATATTTACAATAATTTATTTATGAAATACACAGACATGCTTAATGACTAATATTATATGAATAACTGCACTTATATATAGTTTTTTGCTTAGTTTATTTTTAAACATCTAGTTACCTCCTATCGCACACCACAGCCGCCATACAATTGCTTGAGCATATTTCCCCAAGAAGGCCACACAGACACTCTTCCCAACATAGACCCATATGTTGAAGTAATACCATCATTCAGTAATTATAGTTACATCACCGTTAAACAGAATATTGCTGCCTGCAAAAAATCCTTATAGTGTACTTAGAATGCTGAGAGTCTTCCCTCCTCCCCCCACACTAGATGTCAGAATGCAGCCATGAAGATTGGTCTGCAAAGGCCCAAATTTGAAACAACGTATGAGCACTGCCCTGCTACACTGTCCTTGTAAGTACAGGGGAAGCAGTGCAGTGGTCAAAGGTTGTTACAAATTGGGCCATACCATTTTTAATTCTTCCGGAATGTTTGTTTTAGTAGAGACCGTCATTTCTATTTCAACATGTGCATATAGTTAAATACACCGTCAGGTCGCTTGAATAATAATAACAACAAGACAAGATTTAGTGAGAAGAAAATTATGGTTTCAATAGCGTACATTTAAAGGGATTTGCAAAAGACTTAAGTTGACATGATGTGTTTCACCATTATTTTTACATCAGCACTCTATGCACCTCTTTAAACTTGTGTCTTCAATTGTTGTTGGTTTTTAATATCAAAATGCTTTACTTATCCCTTTAAAAAAAAACTATATTCAGAGATTGTCCCATAAATAAATAAAACGTTTCTTTGTTCAGACAGTGGTGCGAATTTCATATGTAATTATTTTAGCATTTAGCACCAACCAACATATTTTGCTGTACTTTAAAATTATAGAAAGACGATATTTAGGGGTTATGAATGCCCTGTTGAAACAATCTATAAGGATTTGATGTAGGTGGTTATAGGTCGTCCTTAGGTGCCTCGCCCAAAGACACTTACTGACAAGGTAGTTTAACAAACTTGGGCATTTGAACTTAGGTTTTCTGATACTAAAGCAGTTATGTTACCACTGACCTAACCAGATGATGCCATTGCACTGCAGTCTCATAAAGGTTTGTCATTACTACTTTAGGTATATGTAAACAGGAAATGTAAAATAAAGAATAAGTAGGTTAGTAAACGTTATATATTCTCGCATAGAAGAACACTGCATATCACGTTGTAGAATAAATTAAGGTTATTCTTGAAATAGCAGTAAACAATATTTATATACAGCTAAATATAGCCTCAAAAATATTGCCATGGTATGTATCAAAATGACATTGTAAAAGTAATTGATATTTTAAGTACTGGTGGTAAGACAATAAAGTCGGTGAAGTAGCATCATGTGGCAAGTGAATGATGAAGGATCTGAAGTTTAATAAAGACAACAGTTACATTAGCTAATTAAAACAAATTAAAATAAAATAACATTAGCTAAGAAGTAAGCAGAGTAGGGTGAAATAAAAAAAGAGAGGAAAATCAAATATATTAATTAAAAGAAAAAGTTAAAGAAATGGCAGATTAAAAAATGTAAGCATAATAAATACCAGAAAAAGGTATGGAGACAGTCAATGTAATGCAATGTGACAGTAGTCAGTGTCACTGCGTATGGAAGACAGACACTATGTGTGGGCACCAAGATTCATTTTGTGTTTGGCCACCCTGTGCCTATTATTGGTGCAGGGTATGTTGAATATATTGCTTGTGTTTGCCTTTCCCCCTCCCACTTTTTCCTGTCCTATTATTTCCTTAGCAGGGCGTTGTCCCAGGGACACTGCCAGACCAGTTTGAAGCAACTGCCCTGTGTGTGACCCCCAAAATGAGCGGTTCTTCATTGAGTGCTGCTAAGTCCTGTCTGCCTGGTCCTAGCGTAAGCACATCCAACTTGCCTTGTGATGGTTGGGGTCATGTCCCTGGTTTTCAGGACACCAAGAAACACAATAGAGACCGCAGAACCAGAGTCTGAAAGTGGGATAAGTGGGATGATTCCATATAAATTGGTACAGTTGAGAGGCCTAATAGTAACAAATGTGCAGGATATCAGTTGACACAAAACTTCCACTTGTTCCTCTCTGGATATCTAATGTAACCAAATAGATTCTATTTGAATTTTGCAGTTACTACTAAAATTATTTGCACAGTGCCAATATATTCTGCAGCACTATACAGTAGATAAAAGATAGCAAACAATTATAATAAAACACATTTGACATCCAGGCACAGTAGGTGAGAAGGGCGCTGCCCAAACAAGTTTAGAATCAGTTCTGGAATACATTTTGTATCAGAAATAAAATGGACATACAGTGAGGGAAAAAAGTATTTGATCTGCTTGATTTTGAGCATTTGCACACTGACAAAGAAATGATCAGTCTATAATTTTAATGGTAGATGTATTTTAACAGTGAGAGACAGAATAACTCCAAAAAAATCCAGAAAAACGCATGTCAAAAAAGTTATAAATTAATTTGCATGTCAATGAGCGAAATAAGTATTTGACCCCTTCGACTTAGTACTTGGTGGCAAAACCCTTGTTGGCAATCACAGAGGTCAGACGTTTCTTGTAGTTGGCCACCAGATTTCCACACATCTCAGGAGGGATTTTGTCCCACTCCTCTTTGCAGATCCTCTCCAATTCATTAAGGCTTCGAGGCTGATGTTTGGCAACTCGAATCTTCAGTTCCCTCTACAGATTTTCTATGGGATTAAGGTCTTGAGACTGGCTAGGCCACTCCAGGACCTTAATGTGCTTCTTCTTGAGCAGCTCCTTTGTTGCCTTGGCTGTGTGTTTCGGGTCATTGTCATGCTGGAATACCCATCACAACCCATTTTCAATGCCCTGGCTGAGAGAAGGAGGTTCTCATCCCAGGTTTGACGATACATGGCCCCATCCATCGTCCCATTGATGCGGTGCAGTTGTTCTGTCCCCTTATCAGAAAAACACCCCCAGAGGATAATGTTTCCACCTCTATGTTTGACGGTGGGGATGGTGTTCTTGGGGTCATAGGCAAATACGGCGAGTTGAGTTAATGCCAAAGAGCACGATTGTAGTCTCATCTGACCACAACACTTTCACCCAGTTCTCTGAATCCTTCAGAAGCTCTCTGGCAAACTTCAGACAGGCCTGTACATGTACTTTTTTGAGCAGGGGGACCTTGCGGGCACTGCAGGATTTCAGTCCTTCACAGCATAGTGTGTTACCAATTGTTTTCTTGGTCCCGACTGCCTTGAGATCATTAACAAGATCCTGTAGTTCTGGGCTTATTCCTCACCATTCTCATGATCATTGAAACTCCATGAGGTGAGATTTTGCATGGCGCACCAGACCGAGGGAGACTGACAGTTATTTTGTGTTTCTTCCATTTAGGAATAATCGCACCAACTGTTGTCACCTTCTCACCAAGCTGCTTGGCGATGGTC